ATTATGAAATGGACAATGTCGGACAATTATTTTAAGACATTTTTATGTTTATTCATTCTTTTTATAGATACAAATATTTAAGTAAATGCTCTGTTTATAATAAACTATTAAACAACATTTACCGGCCTGAATGTCCAAGAAATTTTCATAGAAAATATTCATACTCCGACAGGAATCGAACCTGTATCCTATACGGAACCGTCATATAGCCTGACGTGCCGATTGAACCACAGAGGATCGTTCGAGTAGCAAGGTCGATTTTACTGCTTTTAAACTATAATCTTCCATTAATCTCTCACGTACATTCATATCTGCTCAATGCGTATCCAAATGTAAACAAATGACGTCACAACTTATGAAATGGACAAAGTTCGAGAGTTATTTTAAGACATTTTTTTATGTTTATACATTATTTTTATAGATACAAACACTTAAGCAAATGCTCTGTTTATAATAAACAGTATTAATAACATTCACCGGCCTGAATGTCCGAGAAATTTTCAAAGAAAAAATTCGCCCTCCGACAGGAATCGAAACTGTATCCTATATGGAACGCGTCATATAGCCTGACGTGTCTTAACCAATTGAGCCACAGAGCATCGTTCGAGTAACAAGTTGGATTTTACTGATTTTAAAATAATTGTCGGACTTTGTCCATTTCATAATGTGTGACGTGATTTGTTTACATTTGGATACGCATTGAGCAGATATGAATGTACGTGCGAGATTCATGGAAGATTCTAGTTTAAAGAGACAAGGGGAGAGGTGAAAAAAATTAAGTTTTTTTTTGTTTTTTTTTTTAAATAGTTTTTCTTAATTCCGACAATTTTTTTTGACAAAACGTCGGGAGAAAAGTAACTTCAAATTTCTCTTTTTAATCGAGACGATACTTTTGTACCTGACTGTTTGAGTAATAAAATGTTCCCTGTGTTTGAACAATACTATTTACATGGTGTGGCATAAAAAATGTCTTCATATATATATATATATATATATATATATATATATATATATATATTCAGTGGAAGACCTACATTGACGTTTTGAATTGTTTGATTATTAATGTATTTCTGTATGTATGCACATGACTACTGTTATTTACATGAGTGAACCAATGTGAAAAGCTATCGATCATTTGCCTCATATTTAGGACTTTATTGTATAAATACGTTCTGTCCCATCAGCAATTATTCCTAACATTGTAACAATAAAATTAATTATTTTGAAATCATATTGATAAACGTTTTCAAGACAGCAAATTCAGAACTTATAAAAAAGTTACATAATTTTTATTAGACATTATTTATTTTATTACATTTAATAACAATGATTTTTTTTTCGTATTTTCTGTTTTTTGTGGTATATTTCATTCAATTATTTATTTATTTTTCTACTTTTGATACAGAGTAGTGTCTTTATAAATATTTTCTCAATATACATTAACTGGGGAAGCTTGAATAAAAATGGAGTCAAAAAGCATGGAATTAATAAAAAGAGTTGCCTTGATTAGCTCGGGGGAGTCGTAAAATATCCTCGCCAAAATAAATAGGTAAATAAAATAAACTTCCCCATATTTTTTATTAAGAACCTGAGAGAATACATCTGTTTCTAAATGCTAAGTCATTAAAATTTTTTGTGCAGTATGCATTGTTGTTAACAAAAGAGACACTATATGTTGGGGACGTCAAAAGTACAGAAACGTACGTATTTTAAAAGCGCAGCAAAATCAACGGACAATGTGGCACTTAAGTTTCTAGAAAATAGTCAAAGACAAAGGAAAATGTCCTTAGAAACAAAGAAAAGAACCGCACTACTACATAATATCGATCCTAATCTATGGTAGCGGATTCTGACAGTTTCCACACAAATAATAAAGAGAATTGGAGATATAGTTCTAGCAATAAATGTTGAGAATGCCGTGTGAGTAACGAAGACTTATAAGGAATATAGGAACTACATGGAAACAGCCAGAAATGGATAATTGAAATATCTGGAACACGTTATGACGAAAACAGGTCAGCAAATCTAATACACCCACAATATCTACGACAAAAGAAGCAGCAGTAAATAGTGAATAACCTAGGAAATGAGTTTGAGTGAAGACAACGAGAGGAGTTAAAGGATCAGAATTCTACATCGAATAAGAAAAGACAAGAAGTTGTGGAGAGGCATGATTGTCCACACCGTGAAAATACACGTGTACAGCTTATCCTATGCATTCATTTATGAAGTTGTTTAAAATTGTTTATTAATCATTTTGAGACTTTGTTACCAATCATTCTTATTCGAAGTCCTGACAAGTGGGAAATCACGAAAATCTGAGTCGAGTATTTTGAACTAATATCACTTCTGATTTAATAACACACACAGACACACACACGTACACACGTATGTATCTCTATCTATAAAAGGCAGGATGTGTGTGTGTAACGAATGCAGGGCTGCAATTTTCGACGGATTTGCATCAAAATTTACATGCACATGCTCCAAGTTATCGGGAAGGCCAAGACCGACTTTGCATTTCCCAACTCCCATCGATAGTGGAAATCATCGATTTTTTCATGCTTCTACGGCAGTTTTCATGTAGCTTGCGGTCATTTTCTACTGGCCAGAGTGAGAGCCTATGGCTGGCTGCCACGAATAGGCAGGAAGATTCTATTGGCCAGCGTGAGAGCCAACAGATGACTGACACGAATGTTAATTAGCATGCTAGCATGCAAAAAAAATCGATAGCTGCATTCGTCACAATTTAAATTTACATGGCACTTTACTCCAATTGACTCATTCGCTTGCTTAAACTCAACGTTGATTCTGATTCCGCAGAACTGGTTTGGGTATGAAAAATTAATTGTTGTTAACATTCTTTTTTCATTCGGTTTTTCCAGTTACGAGTCCTTTTTTAAAGCTGATCATTTTGTGTTCATTTTGCTTAGTTCTTTTTTCGTAACAGGTGAGATAGGCAAGAAGTAAGGCATGTAGCAACATCAGCACGGCAAAGGGCACTCCTTTAAAGGCAAGGAAGGGCAAAAATATTTTAAGTCAAGTGATAGCGATTGCTGTATGAGTCGTACGATTTTGAATCAAGCACGGGCAACGCCGGGTCATGCTAGTAGTATATATATATATATATATATATATATATATATATATATATATATATATATATATACCTTTCTTTCATCGCCAGTGTTCGTTCGCTGAATGAATTGAGTGCTCGAAAGAAATTGCTACGTTCTGCAGTCTGTTTCTATTTCTATCTATCTATCTATCTATCTATCTATATATATATATATATATATATATATATATATATATATATATATATATTGAACAATAAGAAAATAATAAATTAAAATCTTTAGACACACTGGGTTGTAGATTAATATTCTTTCGTTTTTTTTTATTATTATTCCATTTAGATTCCTCGACTAGTTTCGACCGAAATGACCATCATCGGGAGGAGAAATATTTCTGCTTGCTGGTAGCAGTGAACTACAGAAATGAATCATATATATATATATATATATATATATATGTGTGTGTGTGTCTGTGTCTATGTGTCTGTGTGTGCGTGCTCGCGTCTGTGTGTGTGCCTGCAGTCTATTCCTGTCTATCTATCTATTTATCTATCTATCTATCTATCTATCTATCTCAACAATACAGCTCCACATCAGGAAAAATGGCAATTCCGAAAATTTCTGGACTCATGTTTTTATTCTTCCTTTTCATTCCAAATTAATGTTTTTATTCGAGGAATTAACAAAACGTTCACGTTCTATTCAACTGGCTGTTTTGAAAACAACAGCTTCATCTTCAAACTTGAAGCTTAAAATTATTTTAAATATATTTGACTACAAATACCACAGTTGATCTGTTTTTATGTATTTAAAAAAATATATATAAAAAAAAACTAACAGAGAGAGAGAGAGACTAATTATTGATTCAAATATAGCCTGAGGATTTTTCATTTGAATAAACTGAATTATTTAATTAGGTTTGATGCAAATGAAACACCGTAAAGACGCGATTTTGACAGCAAATCACACGAAATAATTCCCTAAAACGCAATTGATATGCGCGCATGCGTACACACAAACAAGCACACACACACACACACATATACATACATAAAGACCCTCTCGTTTTCTTAGCACACCCGTCTGCTGTGTGTGTTTTATCAACCCTAAACCCTGTGGTCTGTGTTGCCAATATGCTGAGCAGACCTTGGTTACAGTTTCCGGGTAAGAGCGCATAGTCTGTTTGATCGGCAGTTTGAACAACGCTTCTACTCGCGACCGTGTAACCCTCGATCACGATGAATTACGACTTCGCGCTAGCGCAACTATAACCCCCCCACCACCACCACTAAAAAGGGTATTGTCTACCCAATTTCTCTCACAGGGCTTGGGTCAACCCGCTGTATGGTTTTCAGTTACATTCCAAGGGTTCCGAAAGCTAGCCATGGTGAGATTCTAACTCTGGTCTCACATATTCGAATGTCAGCCTTCTAACCACTCGGCCTGCACCCACTCGTCCACCCTAACCTTGACATCAACTGTAATGGCTTCCGTCTCGTTTGGGCTCCTACGGCCACAAAGATGATTCTTGAGACCAGCATCCGATTTTACTTAACTATTAAATCGAATACATATATACAGAGATACAGTATATCCTAGAGAATTAATAGATTCTTATTTATAATACTTATTTATAATATTTCTTATATCACTAATATTCCTAATTAAAATTTTTCGAAAAATGCAGGTCGATAGACAATTATATTACTCTGTTTGAAAACCAAAGATGTCTACTAAAACACTTGTATCCACAAAATGTAATGTTTACAGCAATAAGAAATACATATATATCCTATTATAATTGTGCAAGTCATTCACTTCGTTAGTTAGCACGACCGCTACATCCTGTTAACACCTCATGAATAATAGACTATTCCACATTTTAATCGCGTGGAAAGAGTGGAAAAGTCATTACTTGCTTACGGTGATAAAATGGAAAGAAAGAAAGAAAGAAAGAAAGAAAGAAAGAAAGAAAGAAAGAAAGAAAGAAAGAAAAGAAGAACAATAGAGGCAATACAGGTAAAATCGCTTGTAGAGAACAAAAAACGAAGAAAGAAAGAACAATACAGGCAAAATCGATTGTAGCGAACAAAAACGAAAGAAAGAAAGAAAGAAAGAAAGAAAGAAAGAAAGAAAGAAAGAAAGAAAGAAAGAAAAAAAGAATAATACAGGCAAAATCGCTTGTAGAAAACAAAAAAGAAAGAAAGGAAGAACCATACAGGCAAAATCGCTTGTAGAGAAGAAAAAAGAAAGAAAGAAAGAAAGAAAGAAAAAAAGAATAATACAGGCAAAATCGCTTGTAGAAAACAAAAAAGAAAGAAAGGAAGAACCATGCAGGCAAAATCGCTTGTAGAGAAGAAAAAAGAAAGAAAGAAAGAAAGAAAGAAAGAAAGAAAGAAAGAAAGAACAATACAGCTAAAATCGCTTGTAAAGAACAAAAATGAAAGAAAGAAAGAAAAAACAATACAGGCAAACTCGCTTGTAGGGAATAAAAAATAAATAAAGAAGAAAGAAATTAGGAAGGAAGAAAGAAATTATACTGGAGGAAAGAAAGAAAGAAAGAAAGAAAGAAAGAAGGAAAGAAAGAAAGAAAGAAAGAACAATACAGGCAAAATCGCTTGTAGAGAACAAAAATAGATAAAGAAGAAAGAAAGAACTTAGGAAGGAAGAAAGAAATTATAAAGAAAGAAAGAAAGAAAGAAAGAAAGAAAGGAAAAAATAAAGAAAGGAAGAACAGTACAGATAAAATCGCTTGTAAAGAACAAAAAAAGAAAGAAAGAACAAGACAGGCAAAATCACTTGTAGAGAACAAAAACGAAAGAAAGAAAGAAAGAAAGAAAGAAAGAAAGAAAGAACAATACAGGCGAAATCGCTTGTAGAGAACAAAAAATAAAGAAAGAAAGAAAGAAAGAAAGAAAGAAAGAAATTAGGAAGGAAGAAAGAAATTATAAAGAAGGACAGAAAGAAAGAAAGAAAGAAAGAAAGAAAGAAAGAAAGAAAGAAAGAAAGAACAATACAGGTAAAATCGCTTGTAGAGAACAAAAAAGAAAGAAACAAAGAAAGAAAGAAATAAAGAAACAAACAAACAAACAAATAAACAAACAAACAAACAAACAAAAAATTAGGAAGGAAGAAAGAAATTATAAAGAAGGAAAGAAGGAAGGAAGGGAGAAAGAAAAAGAAGGAAGAAAAGAAAGAAGGAGGCTAAAAGGAAGGAAGGAAGAACCACTGAACAATACAAGCAAATCACTTGTAAAATCCAAAAAATAAATGAAAAAGCAAAAATTTTTTAGCTAATCTAAAAAGTAATTTCGAAGAAAATCACTCGCATGGCCGTCACTCATTGCAATGATCCTGATATTGACAAAAACATCTTACCTATTAGAGGTTGCGAAACTCAACTTTGAAATTACAAACAGAAAAATACATCCCCGTTACCAAGATTAAACCTTGCTCACATGACCATACGGTGAACCTATTTGAATGAATGAAACAGGTTCAAAATTGTACAACCGAAACCATCTCATATCTGGGCGTTCTACCATCGACCTAATTAAATTTAGATATAGATTTCATAGGATATGGAAATATCAACGATGTAACATATGACAACATGATAACCTTCGACATGCAGGAAAATGGTGTGAACACAAACTATAACAATTGCTACAAGGTGAAGATGTTATCAACCGCTCGGACTTCTCAATAAAAACCAACTGCAATCAGAGGTTGACAATGGAGCCCAGAGTCTACATATAAGCTCTAGCATCGACCCTTGTGAGAAAAAAAATAGATAAGCTTAAGGTGTCCCACATTGCACATAAACAAAATATCCTCAAAAATGACTGAACTTTTTATACATAACAACGCGGAATTCAGTGGGTTTGTTGCCCAGTCATCTGTTATTCCTTCTGTTTAGTTTTCTGATTTAAGATAAATTCCTTTTCTTCTGAGAAAAACCATATGTTGGGCAATTCAGGAATCTTGGCCAGTGGTTTGAAAAGATCGAGTAGTACTAGACATGAAGCATTCTCTCCTCATGATTTAGGATTTATATCTGATGTCTTCGTTCATCACACGTCTGATTGTTGACTCAAGTAGCTTGGAATTGTTTACGTAGCGTTTTCAAAATTTCAGGTAGTACTAGACATGAAGCATTCTCTCCTCATGATTTAGGATTTGTATCTAATGTCTTCGTTCACCACACGTCTGATTAGCGTTTTGAAAATTTTGACTCAGGATTAGCTTGTCTGAATTGTTTACGTAGCGTTTTCAAAATTTCAGGTAGTACTAGACATGAATCATTCTCTCCTCATGATTTAGGATTTGTATCTGATGTCTTCGTTCATCACACGTCTGACCGATGAAATTTTTTTTTCTTTTAGCCACTGAAGTGAGATTCTTGCCAGAGACCTGGTTTTCTCATATTAAATTTTGGCGATGTTTACGAAGTATGTAATATTAAAAACTGTCTGAATGGTGGTTAAATGAATGACATATACATACCTTTCATCTCCTGCGTTAGAGTCAAAGCTTCCCTGGTGAGACAGACAAAAGACAGATGAGATTTTTATTTAACGTTGGTCACTTGACGGCTTTCTAATGATATGTTCTCAAATACCTAACGCACTTTATATAATAATAAAAGAGATTTAAAAAAAAATCAATGTTATTTTATATACATGTCTATCCAGTTTCAATAAAGAATATCAGCAAAAGACTTTGGAATATTTTAAAATTACCCGGAAACAGAATTTCCAAGAATATTGATGAAGGCAGTGCAGATAACTGGCAAATTTGAAATTTCTTTTGTGATAAAAAAAAAGCGAAATATATTTTATTTCAATTTTTGATAACGAATCAGTGATGTTCTCTCAAAGAATCTTTAACGGAAAAAAGATAAGGCTGATTCCAAGATAAAAAGCACAGCTTCCTTTCAATAACTTCAATATCTTTTTCTTGAATCTGCAAATTCCCTGTGGATTATAATGCCAGAGCTGAACCAGGTTCGTCCTGGGTATGACGATAAACTACATCCGGCAGCAAGGCCTCTAATCGGGAGATTTTGAGAAGAGTGGAACTAACTCTTAATTGCTGTTGTTCCGAGGTTCACCCTGACCAGCGGTGATAACATCTGTTAGGGTTCCAGCTATGGTCAAATAGTTAACTGCGTTCAAAACACTACAAAATATAAAAATGAATTTTTATAGTAAAAATACCAGCAATACATTTGTGAAAAAATATACCAGTAATATATTTGACACTCGACAAAAAACCCTCTTTGCAAAAATACGTCAATGAAACCTGATCTAAAAATTGGTTTCTTACAAAGAAACCAAACCAAACCAACCCGAACCACGCTAACTGCCTCTGTTGAAAAAAGGAAGTTTTACAAAATGGAGTTGCTTGCCCTCAAGCCAAATGGTTTTGAATTCTGAGTTATCATTCTTCTAACTTGTTTGCCAACTATGGAGAAGAAGTCTAGTCCGCCCTGATATTTAACACTTAGTTATGGAATAAGATATTGAATTATTGATTATATAGGGTATCTGTGCGAAATTGAATACAACAACCTCGCCCAGACTTTGAAACTTTGCATGTCGACCCCAGTTTCCCTGCTAATGTATGCAACGCATGCACTTGATACAAACTATTAAATAATAGGGTAGCAGAACTAGTCTATGCGGAGAATGCGAGATTTATCAGCGCCGGAAGTGGAATCGGCGAGCCGAGTTCAAATCCCGACCGAGGCAGTTGCGTTCATATTCATCTTTGGAAAACCTATAAATCCTTATTTTCTGTCCAACATATAAATGGCGGGCTCATGTCGAATGTCGAATCTCTCGCCTTCGTTGAAAACAAGTCCAAGAGAAGCAAAACAAAGGACATGAAATTATGGAGAACCGTGATCGCCATCGTCATGAAGAGACACGGTACACAGAAAAAAGAAGAAACAAGATTTTTAACCTATATTCTGGCGTTCTAACATTAGAAAAGACAAGGAAAACCATTCCTCCATATTTCCCTATAAGGCATAGTAATTCACAGGAAAGTAAATTCACAAAAAAAAAAAAAAGGTACCTGGAGATCTTTGATCCTCCACGTCCGGAATTGTCATGGGATTTTTAAGGAAAAATAGTAGACTTAAGGGTTTTAATAGCAACGCACATAATGGACTTATTTATTAGATAACGCGTTGTTATTTTGCCAACCCTTCAATTGTATCTTCTTTGTTTTTTTAGGCATTTCACCCCAAGCAAGGCGGGAGTGTCACTAGCACGGAAGAGGTTATAGAGAGTGTGAGCAACAGTAAAGAGTAAAGAGGGGTGTTCGAAGAAATGATATAGAGGAGGACGAGGATCACGATCAAGGAATCAGAAGATATCGATTGACATTACATTTCAATATTTGAAGATTATAGCTCTCAGGGAAGCAAGAGGAATGTAGTTCCACTGTCGAGAGCTGCGAGAGAAGATGTTGGTGTAGTAGAGGCGGTTACATTTAACTATTTCGACAGTGAAAGGGTGGGATCAAGATGTCATGCTAGTAGCACGCTTAAATTCATGCATCTTATGAATAACTAGCAGCATGGCCCGGCGTTGCCTGTGCTTGATTCAAAAATCGTACGACTCATACAGCAATCGGTATAAACTTGACTTAAAATATTTTTGCCCTTCCTTGCCTTTAAAGGAGTGCCCTTTGCCGTGCTGATGTTGCTACATGCCTTACTTCTTGCCTATTTCACACTGTGAATTTTTTGTAAGCTCTATAGTAAACATTAAATCTGTTACGAAAAAAGAACTAAACAAAATGAACACAAAACGATCAGCTTTAAAAAAGGACTTGTAACTGGAAAAACCGAATGAAAAAGAATGTTAACAACAAATACTTTTTCACACCCAACCCAGTTCTGCGGAATCAGAATCAACGTTGAGTTTAAGCAAGCGAATGAGCCAATTGGAGTAAAGTGCCATGCAGATTTAAATTTTTCCCACTTGTGACGAATGCAGCTATCGATTTTTTTTTTTTTGCATGCTAGCATGCTAGTTAACATTCGTGGCAGCCAGCTATTGGCTCTCACTCTGGCCAGTAGAATATGGCCGCAAGCTACATGAAAACTGCCGTAGAAGCTTGAAAAAATCGGTTATTTCCACTATCGATGGGAGTTGGGAAATGCAACGTCGGTCTTGGCCTTCCTGCTAACTTGAAGCATGTGCATGTAAATTTTGGTGCGAATCCGTCGAAATTTGCGGCCGTGCATTCGTTACACACACACACACACACACCACACACATTCTGCCTTTTATAGAGATGGCGACATTTTATTTGACTTTCTTAACTAGTGACTTCTTCATAAGACTCCCAGATCTTTGGATATCTACTATTGATGCATAGGGGGAGTGTAGCGATACACAGTGAAGCTTACTGACATACCTGGGACTGGAAGAATGAGTCTCTAATTAGGTATGACCTCAAAAACCTTGGAGACGATGCTTATCCATCTACGTTCAGTCTTGATGAAAATATTTCTCTCTGGTTCGAAGGTGGGCTGGGAGCTGTAATGTATGACATTTTGTAATTGTGATGGATGGAGGAGTTCAAGCCCCATAGAAACATTTGTTTCGACAGCTATCTCTTCACTTTCCTAATTTTCTAGAGTTGCCATTTCATGTTGCTGTTGAATCAAATAAATGACAATGTTTCCTCTGTTTTTCGTCATCCGTGGTTTATTCGTCAACGGGTCACTTTTCGGTCAAGTCGCTTTTTCCGCATCCTGCCAGAAGTGTCACCGAATATGCAGCAACTAAAACCCAACGAGGTATGAGTCCAAATGAAAACGCTACAAGATATAGGTTTCCGTTGTACGCTTCTCAATTAGCAACGGCTCTACTTATTTACACTAAACTGACTGACTTTTCTTCAAGTAGTCATGACCAGCTTCCTCAGAATTAAACTTGCCCCAGTGTTTCATCGATTGTTTTTTTTAAAGGATCGCCTTATTTCCATGTTCTTCAATTATTTCCCCATCTGACTCAATTATTGTTGACACTTTTTTGTTCTTCATTCAAAATTCTCGCGCATAATTTTTCACAATGAAAACCTAATTAGCAGGTACAAGGCTTTACTGCAAGAAGCAAGCAGAAACGCAACTCTTCAAATGTCCGCCTACATAGCTCGATTACGTGCCTATTTTCATATTTTAA